CTCAGCCGATGCAAGGGTCCATAAGGGCAGGGGACACTTACCACTGTTACCACTTCTTTCTTTCTTTTTGTTTCTTGCTCTCTTGATATTTTAATGGTTTAAACCACTGTAAAGCACATTGAGTTTGCCTTGTGTATGAAATGTGCTCCATAAATAATATTGAATTGAATTGAATTGAATAGATCAGATTAGAAAGGATGAAGTAAGAAAACCCCCGAGGAGGATGAAGAGTGGAAAGTCAGTTGGTCCCGATGACATACCAGTGGAAGTATGGAAGTGCTTAGGAGAAGTGGCGGTAGATTTTCTGACTAGGTTGTTAAACAGAATTTTAGAGATTGACAGGATGAGTGGAGGAAAAGTGTTCTGGTGCAGAATTTATAAGAAGGGTGATGTGCAGAGTTGTAACAACTACAGAGGGATATAATTGATGAGCCATACGATGAGGATTTGGGAAGGTAGTAGTTTGGGAGTAGTTGAAGCCAGGTTGAGGCAGGGAGTGGAGATTTGTGAACAACAGTATGGTTTCATGTCTAGAAAGAGTACCACGGATACAATATTTGCCTTGAGGATGCTGATGGAGAAGAACAGAAAAGGTCAGAAGGAGCTGCATTGTGTATTTGTAGATTTAGAAAAGGCATATGACAAAGTGCCAAGGGAGGAATTGTGGTTTTTGTATGAGGAAGTCAGGAGTGGCGGAGAAGTATGTTAGTTTGGTGCAGGACATGTATGAGAATAGAACAACAGTAGTGAGGTGTGCTGTTGGGAGGACAGAAGACAGACGAGGTGGAGGTGGGACTACATCAAGGATCGGCCCTGAGGCCCTTCTTGTTTGCTGTGGTGATGGACAGATTGACAGATGAGGTCAGACAGGAGTCCCCATGGACTATGTTGTTTGCAGATGACATTGTGATCTGTATTGAGAGTAGGCAGCAGCTAGAAGAGAACCTAGAGAGGTGGAGGTTTGCACTAGAAAGAAGAGGAATGAAGGTCAATCGTAGCAAGACTGAGTACATGTGTGTAAACGAAAGGGAGAACAGTGCAATAGTGAGGTTACAAGGAGCAGAGGTGGTGAAGGTGCGGGAGTTTAGGTACTTAGGATCAACTGTTCAGAGCAGCGGGGACTGTGGAAGAGAGGTGAAGAATAGAGTGCAGGCAGGATGGAACAGCTGGAGAAAAGTGTCAGGAGGGATCTGTGACAGAAGAGTGTCAGCTAAGGGGAAGGGAAAGGTTTACAGGACGGTGGTGAGACCAGCCATGATGTATGATTTAGAGATAGTAGCAATAGGCAGAAGACAAGAGGCGGAGCTGGAGGTGGCAGAGTTAAAGATGCTAAGATTCTCTTTAAGAGGGACAAGAAACCATACATTGGTAGAAGAATGTTAGAGATGGAGCTACTAGGTAGGAGAAAAAGACGAAGACCAAAGAGGAGATATATGGATGCAGTGAGGGAGGGCATGCAGATAGTTGGAATCAGATTAAAAGATGCAGAGAACAGGGTCAAATAGAAAACTGACTCGCATGAGTCGCTGTGGCAACCCCTGAAAAAGGGACAAAGTTGAAAGGTAAAGAAGATTAGGGATTTCCAATATTACCTTTTTGCCAATATCCGATATGCTGATATTGTCCAAACACTTAATTTCCGATATCAACCAATCCCGATGTAGAGGTGCAGTGGTGGAAGTTATGTCTTGCGTGGTCACTAAGGTGACACTAAAGTGAAGGGAAACAGTGTTTCTCAATTATTTTCTACCTCCCTAGGGTACAGAAAAAAAAATTCTGTTGAGTCCCTGGATATATTTATTTATCTGTACAAACAACTGTAAGAGTTGCTGGCACGAGTATCCTGCATACAATCCTCTGATTATCATTATAGGTTAATAAAATGGGCTGCAATCTATTGACTTGAAGCTAGTTTATCATTCATAATGTTTTGTGTATCCATAGAATGAATTTTTAGCATAAAGTCTTATTCATTCATTCAACCATCTGTCCATCCAAAAGTACAATAACAGACCTAGTCAAACCCAAACAGAAAAAAAGGGGAGAGAGACACACACACACACACACACACAGAGAGAGAGAGAGAGAGAGAGAGAGAAATAACTCAGAAGCTGTGACTGGGATCTCTTCACTCTCTTCATGTCATCAGATAAGGTAAGAGCTGGGACATATTTCTAGTTTCTGGCAATTCTTGTCATTTGTTTTTGGGTGTTTATTAGGAACGTAGAGGGTGTTTTTTTTAAAGTAATGAGTTGTTTACAAGCCAGTGTCTTAGTAGTAACCTGTTTTATTCTCTTCCAATGAACAAGCCAATGTCTTGTAACTAGTAACCTGTTTTATTCTCTTCCAATGATTATTGCCACATTATTCATTGATTGATTGATATTTGATGTTCTGAAACGAGCCACATTATTATTTATTCATTACAACAATGACAACAACAACAATAATAAAAATAAAAGCAACAACAATAATAATAATATATTTTTTAACATGAATGATATCTTTCTTATACCTCAGTGAAGATTGACGTTATGGTTGTGATTATTCTAACTTTAATGTGCTTCAGTTAGGTTTTTTTAAGTCTATATTTTAATTGTGTTTATGAATGCCAAAAGAACGAATCTACAAAGGCAATTTTTAATGTTTTTATTAGGGTTCAGCTCTTCCACCTCTTTTTGCTGGTCCACAATGTATTTCACACATCAAATAATCATTTTCATTTTGTCTAATAGAAAAAAAAACAGTAATGCATGTTAATTTAAAAATAAAACAATTTCTCTTTTAAATTGAGTATTTAGTTGATATAAGTATGGTGACAACATAAATCCACATATATAGAAACATACCTATCAATTGTTCAGAAATGTATTCAGGATTACCATTAATATCTGCCTAATGGATGCAACGTACATATCTGAAGGTTCTTAGCTGTTACCCCTTTCAACCCTGTATCATCAAAAAGATTTTTTTTTTAAACTCTCTAGTGTAGTGTGACTTATTGATCATTTACAGCAATAACTACAATGTGGCACTAATAGAAAACAAGACACAGGGACAAACAAGTTAGGGTACGAAAAACAATGGTTGTTGTGATTAAACACAACTTATTGTGCAGATTAACTTCCAGTGTTGTGCAGTGTCAGGCGCTAGCTTAACTGTTCTGTTTCAGAACGCCTTTGGTGACAATGACCACTGTGTCAAGAGGAGGCAGTAATGGAGTCTTGAATTTTTTACACTACCACGTCAACACTTCTGCTATATGCTATTGTTGTTTATGGAAGCATCTGCATATCTTTAGTTAGTGATTGTGAATGTTAACATTTAAAACAAAGTGTTTCATTTACATTAATTATTAGCTATATTTTGAACTTTGAAGAACTATATGTGTCAATTAATATTCTGTGAATTGATGTTCAATGTGTTTTTCGATGTGTTTTTTTTTTTTATAAAAGGCCTAGATTCTGTGTAATAGTAGTACTAATTGCAAATTAACCTATCCTGTAGTCTCAATAGCACAATGAATTAAGCTTATCTTGTTTTAATTCACATACTTTCTGAGTTCTCCCAATTCTTTTTTTGCTTTCAAAAAACAATTTTAAACGAGATTTTTTCCCCCCACAAAAATGACACAAGCAGCAACCTAAGGCTCTGTGAATGGAGTCCTGGTTCGAGGACTGTGTCCTACGTTGTAAAATGCAGTATCAGTTATTTATTTAAAGAAAATAAGATGCTGCATAAACATTGCAATATTTAACCTTCTGATTGCTTGCTTGATCATTATTCTATATAGTGCAATACCTGTACTTTTAGAGCTTGTGAACATAAAAATAGAAAACAAATCATACTCAATTACAAAAATTATTGCATGAGAAAACAAAATTTGCTCAGTATGTTCTTCATACAGTGAATAGCAAATTAATTATATATATAATTGAATATAGCATTATATAAATCTGTGTAACAAACAGAAAAATATTTTAAGTTTGATATTTCATTTTGATAGAGTAAATATATTTAAATAAATACAATACATATAATAGAATAGAATATATACATGATGATGGGTTGATAGGTTTAATGCTTTTTGTTCTCCGTATATGAGTCTGTACATATACAAAGACAATAAAGGTGATTACGTTGCTAATAAACTAAAACCATCATGGAAGACATTTTGTCTGCAGATACAATGTTTTTGCAATCAAGACACTGGAGACTGCTATGTTATGGTCCAATTTTTAGTGACATGCTACTACTCCCCAAATGTCATTTACTGCTTTAGTATGTTCCTTATTCACTAATATCCTTAGTCACTGGTTGCCACCTGAAATTTAAATATGTACAAACAGAATGACAATAAGTATTAGAGCCGGAGTGCTGTAAATCAGCACTGTATTTTAATTATTGTCTGCACACTTAAATCACAAGATGGTCCATTGACTATGAGGTTTGACCCTAAAGTTATGGTAGGTGTGTAACAAAGTAAACACAGTTGAAATTAAATAACCCATTAAGCAGGCTTTTGTAGATCAAAGATTAGGATTTAAGTTTAGCCAGTCACCAAATTGTTGTGTTTTTCTGTGTTCTGCTGATGGACATTTTCTTTTGTTATTTTGTCTGTCTAGTTAGTGATTATCTTTTGTACAGGTTATAAGCATGGTACCTTTACAACAGGGGTAGAATGTGGATAATTGTGCTCCCTTTAGACTGGTGTCATCATACATCTCCACTTGTAAACCCATTTGGTATGGGCCCAAGACTGCAGCAGCACTTACATGAACAGAATTATGGACAAGGGTACCAAACTCACACATTTGTTCTGTTTATAGATACAGTAAAAACATGAAATTATGCCCCAAACCTGTATTTCTGGAAAAGTTCTATTTCTTTTTTTATTAATAATTAAAAAAAAAAAAGAACTTGGATTTGATCAATTCAAAACGTTGAAACATGTACAGATCAATTTATCATAAACCAGCCCAGAGCAGTTGATAGAGAGACCTCTGCACTCTCAACTATGTTAGTTGTATCGCCAGCTGAACAGTGGCTCTTTGTTTGTAAATTTATAAATGGCTGTGTGTCTTGGTAAAAGCTTAGAACAATGCTGCTTTACTAGAGACTGATTTTCATATAGGGGGGTGATTGTGATTGGTGGCAATGGAAGGGCAGTTTATTCTTCACTGTTGGGGCTTGGTACAGAGAGTTGCAATAGTTCTTGGTTGCAATAGGCTTGTGAAATGTATGTCAGAGGAAAGGCTTCTACAAGAATACACACAGCATAGTTATACCCACAGGTAAGAAATATTATTATTCTTTTCTTAGATATGGAGTTTAGGTTGATTGAGAAAATTTCAAAGCAAATATAAAAGTTGGCTAATTTTGAACAGTCACAATTGTCACATGAATAAACACACTAATATAAAAAAATATATATTTTAAGTAAGTCTGGACAAAGAGTTTTTTATTACCTTCTTATGTAGAAAATTTAAACCTGTGTACTTTAATAGGGACTAAGGTCTGTGAACACGTCTGTTGCAACCATCTGTCCGCTCACAGAAGCCGGCTGGAGAACACTAGAGAACGAGGAGTCAGCTGCTATTTTAAGCTCCTACTGTGCTTCTATGCTCAAATAAAATGGTCAAGCTTGAGATTTTACTCCCTGAAAAAAAAAAAAGTATTATATTTTAGCCAAAATATCCACTGTATTAAAAATAAATTAGTATGACGGACATCTCATCGACATACAATTTAGAGGAAGAAAAGGTAAAGAAAATGTATTTCGTCAAACTGAAATAATATCCAAGAGTAAAATGAACAATGGATAAACAGCCGTTTTTAGTTATAATGTGCTCCTCCTTCACTCATGTTCACATTTTATTTTAATTAGTTATTAACCAAATAACTAAATTATCATTGCTACAATACCAACAAAACATGTTTAGTTATTAAAATATTTTGTTATTTTTGGAAACACCACACAGCAGGACTGTGGCGCATTGCTGTGGTGAGCAAGCATCCAAGCTCCCCCGCTTCATGGGCACATTACCAAACTAATCAGCCCATTGTTTGTGTGTCACTGGGTTGATTCACCAATCCTTTGAATGCTGATTAGTTTCCCTAGAGATAAGAAGGGTACCTAAAATATATAAATAAATACATTATTTTCTACATACGCATAATACTTTCACGCACAAAATAAAAACTGCCAGAGGTACACGGGAACCTCAAAGTCTAGTCTGAATGTTTGTTTTTTGTTCATTACTGTCAGCAGTTTCACCAACAGATTGTGTGACATCATTGTGACATGTGTGTGTATGTGTTGTTTTTTTGTGCAAGTGAACATTTGCTGTCCTGGAAATTACCACAGCGCTGAACACTGTATGTGGCAGAGAGGAAGGTGTCATGTTTTAAGACCATCTGTTCTGTGTACATACTGAGCTTTCGCTTGTGGCAGAACAGCATTCATTACCAACAATGTAACATTCACTGAGCCTTCCTGTTTATCAAAAGATGGCAATGCCACTACGATGCTGATGTGCATTGTGGGCAATATTTACATTACTAAAGTCATTCATTTTAATGCATAAATGACAATGCGTGAACCTTTTTTTTTTTTTAAATAAAATGTAAAATAGAGTAATACAAAAATAATGAATAATGAATTGTTTACTTTTGGAAAGTTATTCTTATTTCCTTACATATTTTTGAGTTAATAATGTAGTTTCCCCAAAATGTGTGAGAAAAGAGAACGTTAAGCACATGTGCAAAAAACACAAATGGCTTAGATCGTTTGGTACCTATAGCTCTAATTGGCTTCCCAACTGAAATACGATTCATAGATCGTTTGGTACCTATAGCTCTAATAGTTAAATGATGCTACTTATACTACTCTTTTCCCCCTTTTCTTCTTTTACTTCATCAATTCTTATCCTCTTGCAGGTCACCCACTTCCTGTTCTTCTGTATTTCTCGCTCCTGTGAGTACCTGCTTCTTATTCTTCTTCTTTTTATTATTATTTATCTTACTCCATTTTTATCTGCTCTCCACTGCACTACACATTTGTCACTCACACATTGTAAACTTTCAAGCTTTTTGTACTTCCACGTTTACTTTGTTTCCACCATTTGTGCAATATCACAAACTGACTCTCACAAGCTACTGCTGGTTAGGATTATGAAGCCTAAATGCTCTTTTAGATACAATCTGGAAGTGCAATGTTTCATGGAGCATCCATTATGAACTTCTTGTAGGGGAAGCAAGAATATGCCATTAGGATGACAATCTGCTCTAAATTCAACGAAATGCCAAAAGTGAGTAGAACCAGTTGGCTCTATTCGATAGCGTTCTTTACTAATTGTCTAGACCCATACAGTAGCTTGCTTCCTTAGATTATGAAAGAAGGTGTATTTCACTGGATGTCATGCAAAGAGAGTAGGACTCGGCATGATCAAGCATCTCTCCACCTATGGTTGTCAAGGCTATGTCTGCCCTCTTACTGTCTGGCATACCCATCCTCACTCACACCGTGATGCACCAACAGCATATAGCTTACCCAAACAAAGTAGCAATATGAAGCATATGACAGATACGGCATGAAATATAATCCAATGTTTAGATTTACAAACTTCACATCTGTCCCTGTTCTATTACATATTCGTATTAACCTTTGACAATTCTACATTATGGGGGACCTATAAATTACATTAAGTGCTCAAAAAACCGCACTGCTGACCAAGGCTGACCTCGGGCCTGCTGTACTAAACGTGCGTAAATTTCATCTTGAAAAGGGCGTACGCAAAAATCCAGAAATTGTCGTAGGTACAGAAACATTCTGATGTATCAAAGTGTGCGTATGCAGGATTCCAAGTACGTTTTGTTTGTACATCCCAACGGAATTACCACACCACGCCCCACTTACGTATGCAAACAAACAAATAATTAAAGAGGCTTAATACACGCCCCCGTCTTATTGCGATATGTTGTAACAACACTACCGCTGAAATTGTTAATAACATTTCACTTTCACAACACTTGTGGCATTCTTTTACATCCACCCATATACTGTAATTGCAAACATGTTTGTGAGTTAATCGTTCATAAGTGTGTCTCTGATGTGCACATCACGCTGATGACTACTTGGTTTTTTACATTATTAGCAGTTTTCCAGGATCAGCACTAAGTGTTGCCAAAGGCACACTTAGTGCTGAGAAGCGTGCGTACGCCAGCTCTGGAGCTGTCGTGAGGCCCGCACATTTCTCCGATCATTTCAGTTTTGATACATCTGTACGTGAGCGTAGTTAAGGGCGTAAGCAACTTTTTTTTGCGTACACAACTTTGATACATCAGGCCCCTGGCCTTGAATCTAAGAATGATGTCATGCTCTTCCAGCAAAGGTATCTAGACTAAGGCATTTGTCTTCTTATTCCAAAATCTGTCAACAGAAGAGATAAACTACAAGCACCCATCCAATCTGCCATTGAATGCATTCCATGTATTTCTGATTCTGAAATCTACCTTGTTGGTCTGGTGGCACTGGCTGTACTAGGCTAAACATGTCTGGAACAGGGATGTCCAACTAATTTTGGTTCAGGGGCCCCAAACAGCCTGATTAGATGTCAAGTGGGTAGAACCGGTACAGGTATAACATAATTATCTATGAATAACAATCCAAGTCCATGTTTTTCCCCTTTGTTTTCATGCAAAATCAGAAGGAAAGGAGGGAAGTGAAATATTTGTCATTGTGACATAGCACACAACGAAATGTGACCTCTGCATTCAACCCATCACCAAAGTGAACAGTGAGCAGCTTTAAGCACCCAGGGAGCAGTGAGTGGGGACAGTGCCATGCTCAGAGCACCTTAGTTGTAACTTGGCAGCTGGTGGACTTGAGCCTGAAGCCCTCCGGACCCAAGTCTGCTTCCTTAACCACTAAGCCACCCCTGCCCCAACTATTGAAAGACTATATTAGAACATATTCATATGTAATAAAATGTTTTTTGAAAGTTCTTCAAGTGGTTTATCAACTGATTTAGGCCCATGGGTCATATATTTGACAGCCCTGATCTGAAGCCAGCGGTCCCTCTTGCCTGGGGCCCCCAGGGTGTCTGGAAATGCTCCTGCACAAAGTGGAAATAATAATAATAATAATAATAATAATAATAATAATAATAATTATTATTATTATTATTATGTACTGGTATTGCAACATTTTTTATTGTTAACCGACACAAATGATTATAAGGCAATTCTTAAATATGTTTTATCAGCATATTTTTATAGTTTCACAAATAAACCTATATTGTCCTCTGCAAGTCACAGATCACAATTCCAGATAAAGCTTTGTCCTGTCCATCTTTTACATCACATTTTAATAGTAATTGCCTTTTATTTTTAGAGTTTGCGATATAGTTTTAAGATCGTTTGCCCTTGCTATTGCAGTCAATGGATAACATGAAGGCATACAAATATGACTGGCAGTTGCTCATCCCCCACTGAGTTGCGTGCCTTGAATGCCGTTTGTGTGTTCGTCTGCCTCTACACCTCCCCTGAAATGAAATACAACGTTACCCTATTAAGCAGTCCTCTCTACAGAGGAATTCTTCATAGTTTAAGTGATGATGCTATCATTTTCAAACAGTGACTCACCCTTTGTGTAACAATGAGAACGGTGACACTTTTACAGACAACTTGCTATTGTTACTTTGCTACATATACATATGAGGCAGACATCAGTTGTAAAGCTCATGTTCACTGCTTACAAAGATTCTTCTGTTAACAACATAAAGCCCATTGACGTCTTGATGCCTTTGTTCATTTTTAAAATTCTAATTTCTAGACATGAATGAACATGATGCATTTTTACTCTGAAATTACACCCTTTTTTTAAATGATATACATAAGTATATCATTTAGTTAACGTCATGTATTTTTATTACTTTCCTCATTTCTCTTGTCCTTATGTATACTGATAATCAGTAATTCTGGATTTCCTATAGTATTTTAGGCTGTTCTAGTATGAAAAGTTTTTTATGTTATCTTCTAATTTTATATCAACATTCCTGGACTAAGATGTAGCAGAAGCCTGGTGCCAAGACGACTGTGAGGCAAGTGGTCTGTGTGTGAGTATGCACATACGTAGATGCCCTGTAACACTCGTTTGTCTGCTCCATCAATGGGACCATTGTGGTCATTACTGGCTCCCCCGCCTGTCTGTAGAGCTTTATCCCCTCCGCCTGTACACTTCTCCTCTTTTGTTGCATTCCAGATAGTGAAATAGTTGAAACTAAATGCCCGCTCAAATATGTTTTTTTTTTATATTAATAACTATAATAATAACTATTAATAACTTCAGCTGTAAGGAAACCTAAAGGTCTGTGTACAGTAATGTAAATAACATTTGATCTTATTGGCACATTAAAACTGTGAAAATATATTCCTTGCAGAAGGTAAAAATGAGTACAGTGGATTCCCCAGATACGAGTTTAATCCATTCTACAACAATTGATCCGCTCGTATCTAGATCAAATTTTCCCCATTAATAATAACTAAAAACCAATTCATTCGTTTCAGCTCCCCAGAAATATACTATTAATTCCCTTTCATCTAAACATCAAAAACATAGATATAAACATCCATCCAACCATCCATTTTCATCCGCTTATCCGTTACCGGGTTGCGGGGACAGCAGTCGCTACCCAAATCACATTGCACCATACCAACCCCCCAAACCTTCCTGCGGGTGGTGAGTCCACTGGAAGGTATTAACCGCCCCAACCGGGATTCGAACTTGTCCAGGAGGTGAACCCTGGGGTTTCACACCAATGACAGAGACATTGCCTCTGGGCCAAAGCGCCACTAGATATAAACATATATAGAGCTATTATAAAACAATAATAATTAAGAAAATATTATAAAAATGGGTAAAAACCAGCCACTAGGGTACACGAAGCAGTGTTTTATAGTGCCGGTCCCAAGCCTGGATAAATGGTCAGGGTTGCGTTAGGAAGGGCATCCAGCGTAAAACTTTTAGCCAAATCACATATGCAAATCACCAAAACGATTTCCATACCGGATCGGTCGAGACCCAGGTTAACAACGACTGCCAACAGTGCCGTTGACCAACAAAGCATCTTTGTTGGGGCAGAAATCAGATAAATGAACTAACTTTCTGCTATATGTTTATCTAGAAAATCATTCATTTCTCTTAGTGTCTATGTATTTAAGTTGTCCTGTGGTCCTATGTCTGTCATTTCTTCATCTACTTTTGCCCTGCTGGATTCAGCCGGTACAATATCTTGACCCTCAGTGTGACCATCAGCCTCAGCTTCAGCCTGCGCCTGAGACTTTGCTTCGGCGCTAGCCTCATTTCGATTTTCAGTTTCAACTTCAGCCCCTGTCGGAGCCTTAGCATCAGCCTGAGTCTGAGCTTCAGTTGCAATATCAGCCCTATTTTCAGTTTCAGCTTTTTGCAGGACACATGTTCTGGTGGACCTCGTGGATGGTTGCTGAGCAGCGGGTTTGGACCCTGCTGATGGTTGCAGGGAACCGTGTCTGGACCCCGTGGATGTTTGGTGGGCACTAGCTCTGGCGGATGCCACCGCCCATTCCCGATACGGGCAGAGCGGTTATGACCCATATCTCCACACTTAAAGCATTTTCAAACCTGACAGTAAACAAAACCTCCAGAGTGTGGAAGGAACTGTGGAGAAAGTTTGCAGTCTGTGGTCTTTGTGTCCAAGATGAACTGCCTTGAAACCACTGGAGAACTTCCTGAACTGGGTAAATTCTTTCTCCAGTGGCTCATTGAGGATAAACGGTGGCATCAGGGACACAGTGATTTGTTTAGCCAGTAGGGACAGTAGAGTAACTGAGATGTACTCATCCTCCAGGACCAGACCTTTCTCTACCAGTATCTGAACCAAATGCTCCTCTTGGACAAACGGCCTTGTTCATCCAGGAGCCATACATTATATGCTGATGTCCGACCTGTTCTCCTGCAGTCAGGAGAACCAAGCATCAGCCATGATTCTAACCACTTATCTGAGAGACAGAGCAGCCAAACCTCTCACAAGAAAGAACCTGCTAACCTGCAGCTTCTCAAAAACACAAAACAAACAAAACCTGTAAATTAAACCTCTCTTACCTTTCACCCAAGAAAACAGAAAAAAAACGATGTTTACCAACTTTTCTCACTCATTTAAAAAAAACCTCCACACTCCACATCAGCTCACACACTCGTTTACTCCCAGCTCCCAGCATGCAGTGCAACAAGATAGAGAGAGAAAGGGAAAGGAAGGAAAAAATGACAAGGTGAGGGACAGTGAGCGAGACAGTGCGAAAGTGTCGGGGCCCCTAAGAGTAGGAGAGGCACTTGTAACTGGATATTTCCTCGTATCAGGAGCAAAATCTTACAATAGTTGCAGACTCATACATGGAATACTCATGCAACTGGTGATGCTTCATATCCCATCAGCATTCCTCATTCAATTACACCAACACAAACATATACACAGGAACATATTTGTCCTACAAAGAACATTTCTTTTATAGAAATGGATAGAGCACCCTTCTTGTGCCTAAGCAATTCAAATTTACTGTAGCACTTGTAGTGCAGCACAAACTTAATTTTTTTGCTCCAGATGCCCCCTTGAGGTGAGGCAGAGTAATGCCTGCCTCCCCTGCTGACTTTTTTTTACACTTTCTTGTATGATCAGCAGGA